TGGACTTTTGAATGTGCATTTTTGGAAGTAGAGGTTTCACTTTGCTTCTTCTGTGCCTTTTCTTTGGCAATTTTCAATACTTCCCGGGCTTTTGCATGATCCATGCTCTTACTCTGGAGCACTTTTTTAGTACTTAGCTGAGCTTTTGACGTGTTTGTCTGAGCAGAAACTCTGCCGACTCTGCCTCTACTGTGAGCAATACCTGCAACTCTAACCACGGCGTTTCTTCTCTGGCTTTCGTTTTGGTTTTTCCCATCCACCTTCTGGTCAGTTTTCAGTTTTTTGTTCATAGTAGCCACACCGTCGTGTCTCCGCTTTTTATCTTCGTATTTAGAAGAGTTACTCGCGCTGCCACCTTTCCGGCTTTCCTTTTTCTCAGCAACAACACTGTTCTTACACTTATCGCACAGGACCTGCCTGGGTCTCAGCTTAATAGCATTCATTATTGAAGTGGGTTCTTCCCTGTACATTTTCTGTTTGGGGCGCTTTATTTTCCGAGGAGGGGGCTGAGGTATTGATTGGTTATATGTGTCCCTGATAAACAAAGGGGGAGGATAAGGTGCTCCTGCATGGAAGAGAGGCGCGGTTTGGAGGTCCACAGGCTTCCCGCCCAGCTTGGCTCAGGGGGTGGGATGGGAGAAGGGTCACTGGGAACAGCACCATTCACTTCGCGCTTGACTTCGGTCCCGTCCTGGAATGTATGACTCTGCAGCTGCATGACTTCCGGCTTGTCCTTATATTCCCTTTTGGGAAATACTGTCACAGGAATGCCATGGGGCCCGAACCTTCATGCACCTTTCTTTTGCAGATTTGAAATTCAGATTCTCACACAATCACTGGCCTCCTCTTCTGTTTGATTCAATAGCATGCACACTACAGTGTCTCTCTTGCTGTTAAATACATCAGTAGAAAGCACACTTGTCTTATTCTGCTTTCGAACTATGAAAGCAAGATTACCAAAAAAAAAAAACCCTACCCCAAAATGAAAAACAAAAACAAAAACAAAAACAAAACTTAAGATTAAAAACATAGAGCAAAATAATAAACAAAAAAATAAACAAAAAAAATAAATAGAAAAAAAAACATATAGAGCAATTGTACAGGCTCCCTATTTTTTCCCCAAAATGCCATACTTCAATATGATTTAAATGGCTTTTTCCCAAGTGAAAAAGAAGGATTCTTGTGTCTTGACAGGAGGGCAGGGAATTAAAAGTAAAACACAAGCCATTTCCAAACGGGC